CGTGGTGCACGAACAGGAACTGAAAGAGGTTCACTGCTGATCACGGAGAAGCCCTCGCCCACGCGAAGAGGCGCGCGAGGAGGCAAGAAGAGGGGCAAGTAAGCACCTGCAATCTCGCCCTGTGCCGCCTGGAAGCTGAACAAAATACAAAACACGGATGCCCCATGTTTTGCTTGTACGCAAATCTGTAAGCTCAGCTCTGGTTGTTTCCGCCAACCAACCGGGCAGCCACAAGTTCAGACAGTTTGATGGCGCGTACAATGTCGCAGGGCCCACTGCTGGCTGCTGTGCCACATCATCTTTTCTGACAGTAGTACTGGAACACTTGAACTGTTGGCTCTATTGAAGTGTTGTATAGCTTTGGCTCTGCGAGCATGCTAGTCCGCTCGCATGTGAACGCCAACGCCTGTTGTTACACGTCAACCACCTATTTCCGCAGGTATTATGGGACACGATGCAGGAAAATTTCGTGATAAATGTCCCAAGACCAGCGGGGTGGTCTTTTTTTCTTTGTTCTCCGCTCCGTCAGATCCGTGAGGCCGCATCTCCTTGTTCTTCTCCACTCATCTTTCGACCCCTCGTGTGGCCGTTAGATTCGTTTCTTCTTTCGAAGCATCAACGCCGACTTCATCGCGTTCATCTATTTGCTCTTAGATCATCACAAAATCGTCGCGATTACCTGATTCATCAACAACATAATATTGGAGAATGGTGCTCTACAACTTCAAGCAGATCCAGTCCGTGCCTACGGGCCAGGACTTCATCGATATCGCTCTCTCGAAGACGCAGCGGAAGACGCCGACGGTGGTCCACAAGCACTATGCCATCGCGAGGATTCGCCAGTTCTACATGAAGAAGGTCAAGTTCACCCAGCAGACCTACCACGACAGGCTCACCCAGATCCTCGAAGATTTCCCCGTGCTGGATGTACGATTTTTCATCTTTTCTATCATTCTTCTCTCCGCTCCATCTCCATCCGTGGATACCGAGCTAGCCCCCTTCAAAAGATTGAGCTGAGTGATACTAATTTAGTGCTTTCTTCTCTGTACGCCGTAGGACATCCACCCGTTCTACGCTGATTTGATCAACGTCCTGTACGACAGGGACCACTACAAGCTCGCGCTTGGTCAGCTTAACATCGCCCGTCATCTCATCGACAACTTGTCGAAGGACTATGTCCGCCTCCTGAAGTTCGGTGACTCTCTGTACCGATGCAAGCAGCTCAAGAGGGCCGCCCTCGGAAGGTGCCGCACAAACGCCGTCAATTTCAATCTTGAAATTTACGAAATCATCATGGGCCCCCAATTCTAAGCTTCGACTCTCTACGTGTAGAATGTGTACCCTCATGAAGAAGCAGGGTCCCTCTCTGGCCTACCTCGAGCAGGTGAGGCAGCATTTGGCCCGTTTGCCCTCCATCGACCCCAACACCAGGTAAAACCGCAAAAACAAAAAAACTGTCCTCCCATTTTGCATCTTTCTAACTTGAGTACTCCTCTTCCTTCAGGTCAATGATTCTCTGCGGCTATCCCAACGTGGGTAAGTCGTCCTTCATGAACAAGCTCACTCGCGCCGACGTCGACGTGCAGCCCTACGCCTTCACCACCAAGTCGCTCTTCGTGGGTCACACCGACCACGAGTACATGCGCTTCCAGGTGCGTTTCGAACTTTTGAATAACCAATATTTTCACCAGTATTTACAACAAATAAGAATAGAAATATAAATATGAATTA